CTGCAGCCCTTAACTTCGTGCCTGCAGTGCTCTTTCCCTTGCACCATCATGTGGGGTCAGCATCAAAGACAGAGTGGCGCTGATGGCCCTGCCTCTCTGGCACCGTGTGTCCCTGGGGGCCAGGCCCACCGTGGGTGGGGTGGACCCCCCAATCCCTCCCTCCAGGGTGTATCACAGATTCAGCTATGTCAGGTGCTGGACACTCCCACCCCTGGGCTCGGACCAGTGCAGACAGGATGCTCCTAGGGGTGGGCTTGGTGCTTCTCTACCTGGGGACTCTCTCCCCCAGACTCTTCCTACTGTTCTGTGCCCCTCGCCCCAGCTGCCCCGTGACCCATGATGGCTGCCTGCCCCCGCGTCCAGCCTCCCCGAGCAGACTAGATGCGGTCCTAGTGCCTTGGGGCTTCCCCAGGCTTCCCCAGGTATGGCTGAGCCTGCTGCGCCATGAGGGAGCCCCAGAGGGGGTGCCCCTGGGAGAGCCTCTGTGACAAAGGGGCGGGTGGGGGGGCCTCTGCTGATTCCTCCGTAGGCCACGGAGCTACAAGGTGAGGGCCCTAGTTGGGCCCGGTCACGGCAGATACCACAGAGCTATCACACAAGGGACGTGCAGGCCACACTGAGGTACCTTTATTTCTCTGGGCCTCACAGGGCCTGGGCCTTGGAGTGTTTCCCACTTACTTAGGGGGCTGCACCTGCCAAGGAAGGGGCTGAGACCAGAAGATGGGGCATGGCAAACGCTGGGGTGTGCCCAGTGGAGTGAGAAGGTACTAGCACCTCCAGCCCCACTCTCCCGACTCTGGGGCAGCCAGGGTCCACCTGGCCTCTCCTCAGAGGGTCGACCCCTCCTGCAGGCAGCTGGGAAGGTGGTGGCCAGGTGTTGGGAAGACAAGTTCCACTCAGCTTTCTGCTGCCTGTGGTGACAGGAACAGGGCTGTCTTCTCAGCCATGACGGGCAGCAGGTAACTGGCAGAGACCCCACCTGGTCACAACGCTGTCTTCCCCGCCTGGCGGCCCCTCTGCTGCAGCTTCCTGATGAGCTCCAACAGGTTCATCTGCAGCGTCAGCTCCTGGGGTGCAGAAGGGCTGCTGTGAGACCAGAATGACACCTGGTCTCTCCTGTCCTGGCAAAAGCCCCCTTTCCCACGGGCCCAGAGGCAGATATTGGGGCCTACAGAGTGCCAGGCAGTGAAGCCATGGGACTGACTTCCAGGGACTCCTGGCCACGGCTTGCCAGAAAGGGACAGAAGCAGGGACGTCTCCCCGCAACAGGGCCTGCAGTTGCCCTGACTCGGGGCACAGGGCCTTGTGAGCAGCAGGGCCTGGGGAAGGTGGACAGTGCTCCCTCAGCCAGCTGGCTTGCCCTCCTGTGGGCAGAGGCAGTGGGACCTGCCTTACTAAGTCTTCCCTCCTCCCCTCCCCCAACACACTCTGGGTCTGGCTCCCCAGGGACCAGTGATAAAACCCCAGAGGGAACTGGGCCTTTGGGAACCAGCACCCCCTGGGCTGTGCCAGGGCAGGCCTGAGGCACTGACCTGTGGGTTGGTGGTCACATAGAAGCCAGCAACCCCAGCCTTCTCCAGGGTGCTCTGCTGGTCGGCTACCTTCCGGTCCAGCTCCAGGACAATCTTCTGGTCCATTGCCCGCTGCTCCTCCCGGATCCGGTGCTCCACTGCCTGCATGGTGAGGGCGGCTCAGGGGCTCAGCCCCCTGCCCATCACACACTGCCTCACACACACCCTGGTGGCCTGCCATTTCCTCCAGCCTGCTCCCCACTCCCAGTGGCTCCAAGACCACCGATGGTGCCCTTACTGCACCCAGGTTGCTCTCTTCTCGGTCACACTGAACCCTGCAGAAGGGCTCAGCTGCCCTACCCGGAATGCTGTCCCTTCCAGGACCCCCAGCCAGGCGTCCTCCCTTTGCTGTGTCGGGACCGCCATGAGCTGGCCAGATGCCAGGTCCACTTCTGCTTACTATCAACTTGCCAAATGTCTCTGGGCCTTTGTGTATGTTCCCTCCCCACTGGGGCTGCCTGCCGATCCCAGCTCGGCACCTCTTCCCTGTGCACCCTGGCTCCAGGCTGCTTGGGACCCTGCATAAAGCCTTTCCATGCACCCCTACCACCCATGGCTTCTTGGTTACATACGGGTCTCCTGGTTGTCCTGGAGCAACCTGGAAGCAGACTGGGCTTCTGCTGGCTGGCCCACCACCCACCATTGCCCCGAACAGGCCCAGCCCTTGAAGAGCTATGGTCTTGGGAAGCAGGGGGATCACACTCTCTACCTGGTCCTGCCACATCCCAACCCCCAGAGTGAAGAGCCAAATTTGGGGACTCATCAGGCCTCCAACGGCCCACCCAAGTTGAGGCCCAGAGCAGCCAGGAGCTCCCAAACCACCCTGAGCCCTCTTTACCACAGCCCAGGTGATACCCACCCAGCTCACACCCCTACCTCCAGCTCACGCTGCTGAGCTGCCTGGAGCACGGGCAAGTTGTGGGGCCGGCAGGCCTGCTGGGCTTCCTGGTGCTTCTGTCGCAGCGCCTGCCTGAGCACTAGGAGGAGATGAGACCAGAGAAGTCCAGCAGGTGGTGGGGGGTGAGATGGAGGGGGGCAGGACACACTTCTTGCCTCGGCACCTACCCTGGCTGTCCCACCATGGGGCAGCCAGGCCAAGGTGCAGAGGTGAAGCCCTGGCTGATGACCCAGCCCATCTGAAGCCCTGCACTAGAAGCTGGGTGGAGTTCTGGGGGACACCTAGTCCCCTAGCCCACTCAGTCTTGCCCTCACCCAGGGCAGGGCCTTTCTCTAGCAGTGAGGATCCAGGGGACTCTGGAGGGTGCAAGGCAACCGAGGAGGTTGAGACAGGGCAGGTTGGCCAGAGCTATGGCCAGTGCTCACAAGACCCAAAGGAGTGGGAGATTAGTCCAGAAGCTTCTGGGCTCAGATGGCCACAGGCCAGCAGTCCTGGGTGTGAGCTGCCCATCACCCATGGGACGTTCATTGAGATGTCCACCTGAGGGTCCACTGTGAGACCATCCAGGCAAAGTCTGGAATAGGAAGGAGAGGAGTCATTGTGCCTAAGCATGGCATGGCCTCTGCCCATGGTGGCGTGGTGGTGTCATTCCCTCAGTGCTGCCTTTGAGGGTGGGCAGAGCTGCCCCACCCCATCCATAGCTCCCAGAGGGGGTAAGGTGGGTACAAACCCTGGGAGGCCCAAGGATGAGATGAGCCTTTAGAGGCCCTGTGCTGGGGAGTCTGTGTTGCTTCAAGTGGGGTTCACCATGGCCACTGAGAAAGCTCCCAGTTGCCATTAAATCATACCATAAATAGAAGCAAAATTGTCTACTGTGATAGGACTGGACAGAGGACAAAGGTACCATGCATGGCATGGAAAGAAACTGATTACGAAACAGAATACTACACAGCCCAGGGCCACCTGGGTGGCTCAGTGAGTTAAGTGTCCAACTCTTGATTTTGGCTCAGATCATGATCTTGGGGTTGTCAGTTTGAGCCCCACATAAGGCTCCGCACTGGGCATGAGCCTGCTTAAGATTCTCTCTCTCTCCTCTCCCTCT